TGGTAGCTATGCGGTTTATGTCATCAACATGTAGGTTCGCTCTTTCTAGGAAGGTTCTGAATGTGGATCTTTGGTCAAGGATTCTCTGAGTGATCGCGTTTTCTATGTCACCAGTTTCATTTAAGTTGGCTCCCAAGCCACGCAGGGATATAACATAGTTAGTGGGCCGGTAGTTGGCGAAGTCGATTGCTATGAAACATACCGCACGGCTCATCCATAGGTGGCCAGCGATAAGGGTGTTGATGTGTGAGGGGTGGAGGCCCTCAACAAGGAAGCCCCAAGGGGTTCCTGTCTGGTCGTGTGATCGGGCGGTTGGGGGACGGATGATTATATTCAGGCTTGATTGGGGAAAGGCCCTTTTGAGGAAAGTGGCCAGGTTATTCCTAAATTTTTTGTCGCCCTCTGTGCTGTGTTTGGCGTCAAGCGGGTATGTTAAGACAGTTCTTGGAATGGTCTTCCACTGTTCATGGCGGTCTTCACTGAGGTTTGCAAGGATTCTTGCCGGCCGTGCACCGTGGGCGCGGAAGTCAGCGAGTTCGCCATCAAGGTCGGTGTAGTTGAAGATTTCGTTGCCGTCATGTGGGCGCTGAGCAGCTGCAGTTACTGGGTCAGGGGCATCTGCTACGGCTGGGGGGCGGGTGATACGTGGCGGGTTTGGGGGGGGAGTTGCAGGGCTCGTGGAGGTAGGGACTGTCGCGCGGTTAGTGGTGTTATTTGTCCTCCCTTCGCTCTCGGGGGGAGGGGGCGCGAGTTCAGGACCTTGGATGTTGGCCGAGTCTGGGGATCTGTGGCGTTTGGCCACCTCCAGAATGGAGGTGATAGATGGGAGTGTGGTGGTGGGAGACGTGAGTGTGGTTAAGTCCTTTTCGGTGTTGTTAGGAGTGCTTTGTTGGTGCGTCCCCATAAGGTCATCTATCATGGTGTCATCCGCCCCAATGGAGCTGAGGGGAGACAGCGAGCGTTGATGGTCGTTAAGGTTGTTACGTTTACTTTGCATGTTTGTGACTTGGGGAACCACTGTTGAGAGAAGTTTTGTGTATGTTACGGCTTTATTTAGTAGGAGTTTGCGGGGAGACACACCGTTGTGGCGTTCTACCGCTAGTATGATTTTTCTGTGGGACGAGAGGTACTGGTGTATTTGTACTTCGTGGCACCGCCAACCTAATCCTTGCGGGATTACCCGGGCACCGGGGAACTGCATAGTGGTTAGCGTTCCGACCGGGTGTACCCAACTCCTAGCCCCTTCCGGATGGGGACCTGACAGTGTACTGGGGCGTATTTTGGTTGCCCTGTCGAGGTCAAGGGGTCTTTGCCAGCGTCACGTCCGGTTTTCTAGTGGTTCCCCTTAGTCATTTTTATTTTTGTTTTCCGAGTTGTATTTGTTGTTCTTAGTTGTTTTTCTCTCCCTAGTTTAACGACGTCGCGGTCGACATCAGTATGTTATCACTCGATTTGATAATGATACTTTTGAGAGGTCTCTTTAAGTCCAATAATCGCTGGAGTGACATCACATGTGAAGACCACCGAGTAATACACCCACGGATGAGGGTCTTTGCTGTCCCAGTGAACTCCGGAAGAGTCTTCTGCTCGGAGTACAGAAGATGAAGCGCAAGAGAATGGTTATTAAACCAGTTCACAATCTCACTTGCTTGTGCCATGCGCAACTTGACACTATCAGACTGTTTGATGTAATCACCAAGCACCAACTGAACCTATTGAGGACTGTTAACACTCAAATAGTAGAAGAGGTAGGGACGGACTTGGTGTGCATAACAGTCAACTGTGATTAGCCGAGGGAAATTTTGTTTGAGCATTTTCCGTGCTGTGCGTGACTCTCCTGAAGCATCAGAGACCCAACCAATGAGTTTGAGCCCAAGTTTCTCTTCGATAAAAGTCTTCTCTTGAAGCATTAACTTGAAGAGGTTGTCAGCAGTCTTGCGCGAGCCGGATGTGTTATGGACATGTGTCATCCGAACCTGGGTATAGATATGAGTGAATTAACCCTTTACACAGTGAAGAGAGGATATACCATATGGTTTGCAGAAACCATGAATGCGATGAGATGATTCCGAGATGTGTCACGCCAGCCATCACATTGGCCAGTGGCATAGGCACTGCACATCATGTCAGTGAGGCAATTTTGAATAGACTCGAACTCCGCTGAGAGAAGAGGTCCTGAAACTTTGTTTCGTTGCGGTAGCTTGAATGCAGGGTTGAGCATGTGCACAAACTTCACCATTTCAGGGTCGTCAGGCAGTCAGAATGATATCCCAGCAGAGATTATAACGCAGAGAAACTGTCTTTCTAGATCCTCCTGTTGCTTCTTGGGGAGCGGGGGGATATCGGAAATTCCCTCAGACAAAGATGAATAGCTACCGCGCCGGCCAATTTGTAAAGGGGGTGTAAGATGTGTTGGAGATGGTGAATGCCTGGGGGAATGGGATGTAGGTGAATGAGGAGATATCAAGGGACTAGCAGCAGGTGAAATTTGGAGTAAAGGCAAGTTGAGGCGAAGTTGTCGGCCAGGGAGATGTTGATCAAGCCAAGTTTTCCCCATTGCACGCGCATCTGTGGTTGCATGCTCACAGGTTTCAATATGACGTGCAAGCCGTTCAACAGAGCCCTGTATCTCAGAGCAAAGAGGGATTGCTGTTAGAGTCTGATGTTAGCATTCACGCAAAGTGCATGGACAGATGGGGAGTTTACCTCTCATATGAAGTTGACTAAGTGAGTGACGAGGTGCTGAACCAGCTGTAAACTCACGGAAGTTCTCCTCCTCCAGTCTTGCCGTTTGGGCATTTATGCAAAAATTGCATTTGTGAATAGTGTGGCTTTTATTGTTTCCAATCTTCTCCTCGAGGTCGAGAAACCACTGACGCAAGGGGCTTTTGCGGCCCATCCCAGGTGTCAAGCAGGGTGAGAAAGAGAGATGAAACACTTAGGATTGTACCCTAGGTTTTTATTGCATGCTCCCGACGCGGTGAACTAGGGCTGGAAGCAAAAGACCATCATGGTATGTGCATGGGAAGTTGTTCTTGATTCCGCAAAGATAGACAAATGCAGCATTTGGACATCGGAGTCTTATAAAAATTCATTACATGGAAAATGGGTGCTTGACACGCTTCAGCCAACGGATGCTGATCGGACCATGGGACCATGGGAAAAACATTGTCTACTGAATCAGACATTCGGATTTCGGACCATGTGACCATTTGGAACAATGTCCGTGCAACACTGCTAGGACGTCCTGGGGACATCCTGGTGAATGGATCAGTCTTCACCAGGATGTCCAGGACATCCACTAGTAAATACCCCCTTTTAGGCCCATTTGAAGGCCAAACAGCCCCCCCTCTATAGGCCGTCATTAGATGGCTGACTAGGCTGGGAATGAGTTATGCAACGGCAAAAAAGAGGATTGAGACACAAAGCAGGGGGAAGGTGAGCTAACTTGATATTAATTTTAATTCATAGTTCCTGTATGAACTCTACCACAAGGGGCTGACTGGGAAAGCAGCTGCATGGGTGGCTAAGAAGCAGAAAAGCCACTGTGCTGTATCAGAGAGCACTATGGCAGCTATGGATGAAGTTCAATGGTCATTTTATTTTATGTGAACCAAGGACTGACATATATTCTGCTCTAAATACATTTCACTATGTCTTGGTATGATAAAAACGCTCAAAATTATTAGGTAAATTTTGAAAATTTGGGCTCAGAATTTTGCGGTGGCTAAAAAAAATAGATAAAAATCCAAAGATTGCATTTTTGAGCATATTTCGTCTAAAGGTATCCGAATTTGTCAAAATAGAGCTTAATTGCTTGGAGAATTCTGCTATAGAAAATTTCTTGTGTTTGCGTGTCCGCAACTGTAGTCCCGATGTAAGTGACAGGTGACCCTTACATCAAGCAGTGGAATCTGCCTCTATGACAACCTCATGCTCATTGGACCTTGATGGGCCTGGGGGGGTTAGGCAGGTCACCAGCCTTCATTAGTATGGACGGGGGCTTGGTGTTGCAAATTCTAATTTGTCATGATCCGCATTGCATTCGTATCCTTCAATGGAGCAGTTCTCTTCCCGTCAAAGAGAGGCAGGTCATGCACCTGCCTAGGCGCAAGCTGTGCACATCACAGTGATCTACTAGCCAGCCTGTAGGTAGTAGTCCTTTACGTACAAGCATGTCCGGTCCCATGGCCTTTACTTTGGAAACGGCCCAGATATATTGTTCAGAGGTCATCTGGTTCTCATTTTTGTGATTCGGTTCGTCGGCCTGTTTGAATTTTCGATCCTTTCTTGGTGTCCTTGGTGTGCGAATGCATGTGTATTTTCTTTGTTTGATTTTTGGTCCTGAGGTTGCTTTTGGTCTTATCGGTCTAGCTCTTTAGTTACGACCTTAGTCCAAATTTGATTGTCATATTGTCATATATACAAAAAAGCTGGTTAATTTAAATTTCCACCACTTGGCCACCACAATCGTTGTGCACTGTCCTTCAACGTGAACATTCAACACTGAGGTGGCGCTTCTTTACATCATTGATAATTCACAAGACCGACGTCTGAATTAAAGTCGGTCAGCGGCACGATTGATCTCTCCCTCGAAAAGGAATTAATATATGACTTGCATGGGCATGATACTGGACCCCGACGCAACCGATACCAACATCGTACACCCCTCTCAGAGGGTAAGATTCCGAACATAAACAGAAGGCATGAAATTCAGCAGCGTAATACATGACACAATGTTACATCAATATCCAATACAGTTTGGTCGTGGGGGGTTGGGTTGGGTACCGGTTTGAGGATTTTGAATGGTTTAACAATACACGAATGCGCGGGCGCGAGGAAAATTTAAGGAGTTCATAGGCAGTGCATCAAACGAACGACGATAAGCAGCGAAGATAGAAGTGTTGGAATGCTATCGTAACTAAAGAACAGCCAAGGATTCCAGAGTCAAAGGGAGGAAGGAGGGGAGATCAGGATAAGGAGGATATGAAGGCCGCAGTTCATAAATACGCGATTTCGGTCAAACGTTTGGATTCATCATCATCAAGATGCATCAGCCGCTGGGTGATTGAGCTGTTCGTGTGCATCTTCACGTCGAGGGGTTGGGGAGGCGGATAAGCCTTCACGACGCTAGGTTTCTTCTTTTTCGCCGAGGAAGAGATGAAACGGCGAAAGATGGATACTCGGTTTGAGGGCTTAGTGGGGGGAACGGGGCGTGCAACAGAGGGGATAAGTAAACGAGTAGGCATCGAGGTCGTGGAAATCGTTGTGTTCGTCGAAGTCGTCGAGGCCCTTGTAGTCGTCGAGAAGGCGGAGGGGGACGAGGGGGACGAGGGGGATGAGGCTGGCGATGGTACATGTGCTAAGGGCACTAACACCAGGGATGGGTGAGGATTATTGTCAATTTGAGGTATGTTTTGCGGGTCGTCCGAAAGGCTACGCTCAGCGTTTATGTTGCCGTCGTCATGAATGACTGTCTCCCATCCTTTTCTGGGTACCGGATCTTGACTGCTGGAAGCGTCCAAGACACCTCTTTCCTCCTCACGCTTATCGGCGGATTTATCCACAATTTCGATCTCTGGTAATGCGGGGGACGAAGGGGCAGTCTCGAACAAGGGCGATGATGAATTATCGACTTTGCCACACCTGTCTCCGCCGAATTCAGACCCAGAAGTCTCCTCGAAGCTCCAAGTAGACAAGGCCTGGAGCAACGAACCAAGAGGAGACGGTGGGGCGCTCAGCTTCGGTTGAACATCAACCGTCGTATCAACCCTTGGGGATGAGGTATTGGGCTCCCCCACGGAAGAGCGCGAGCCATCTGGCGAGTGAATAGAGTGGTGATGAGAACGAGGAACTGGGGTTGTGGGTCGCGCGGAACGCTTTCTGAACCAGAGCTTGGCAGTCGCGCGACGTATGAACCTCTTCATGGTGCCGCCCATCTTGAACTGTGGGGGGGTAGGGTTGCCGCACAAGTGATGGTCATGCGCCAAGAAGAATTTGCTTTTTGGAGCGGTAGTCGCCGAGATTGAAACCAGAATGGGAGAAACGTGTTGAATGTTCAAGTGTTTAGCACCGTGATGTTCAACGTGAGTTTCCCGGGTTCGGGAGCCGCGAAACAAACGAGCAGTGTCGCGAAATACAAGACAGCGTTGTGGAGGTGACTTTTCACTGGTTGTTGGGAAATCAAATTCAGAGTCTGACCCGTCGGCTCCTGTTGCCTGGCTGTCTCCGCTGAATGAAATAATGGATGGATATCGCAATATTGGCTTGAACTGACCACCGATACCTTGAACGAACCCATTACAGACAAGCATGACAGGGGAGGCCAACGAACACACACACCTTCATTTGTGGGCTGGCCCAGCGAGCGAGGCACTATGACGCCAGTATCCAAAGAGGGTGTTGATGCAAAATGACTGATTTTTACTGAAGGAAAGGAAGGTTTGGTGAGGTGCATCATGCTTGACTATGTCGGACGGGATGTCTGCTTGGGCTTAACGAAGTCCTGGGTGATGTGGGGGGGACGGGTCACGAAGACGTGGCATTATAAAGGATAGGTAGAGTGATTTTGATTTCCTGTTGGAGGAGGGTCGGACAAATTTTGGAAGTTCTGATGTTCCACAACAGGGATCTCCCTATCGATCGCGGCCATTACACGCGGGGAAACCCCCAGTGGAAAGCAGAATGGAAGCTCTGGACCCTTGCTGTTGACTTGCTGGAAAGAATGAAAAAACCGTTGCTGCCCGCAAGAACCATATTCGAAGTCGCGATGCCCTAGGATGTGCAGTTGGTTCCGAGTGGGGCCAAAAAATAAAAACAGCGACATCAACAGCGTATATTGTTCAAGCTCGCAAGCCCGCTAACACTTGAAAGCTGGCAACAAGATTATCCCTATGTATCAACTTTCAGTGAGCAGGGACGAAGGAGAAAAGTACTGTAATGCGTCGACTGGAAGTTGACGTTCTTGACTGTTGTGCCACTTCCATGATTTCCTTGTGCACAACAACATGTTACGGCGGCTGTGTGACAGCGACAGCGATCGCGAGAGTTGAAAATTTTTTCGCTGACGCGATAAACAACTCCCAGGTCAGGCTAGCGAGTCGCTCTCGACTTCCCATCTCCTTAGCAACCAGGATTTCTTTTGGAGTGGTTCACTGCCACTGGCCCAGGCTCATCAGTACTAGTCTTCAGGCCAGTGACTAGCTTCTATTAGAGTGGGACGTTCTCTTACGAGTTAGCGGCTAGACTAGGCTCAGGCGATACTGAGTGGCCCTTCAGGGGCGCAAGCAGTCTATTTATTCCGAGTTACCGTTCAACCGTCGCGCAGTGGGGGGCCTCCACCTTTGTCCCTCTGTGCCTCCCCCTACGTTCCATTATGTCGCATCCCCCCCGACAGATCATCCCCCAGGTCTGGCACCCCTCTTGTCCTTCTAGTGGAGTATTCGACGCTAGGACGTTTTTCGATCACCCACCTTTCGAAGCTGCGGGAGAGTGGACGATGGCCAGGGTGGACCTAGTACGTCAACGCTTACGGGTGCCAGACCAAATTTAGGGAACGAGTCGCTATTTCCTAATGCCTCAGAAACGCCGACCCGCTTCTGAGGTCCTTAGTCCATTATTTGAACAGCTTCCCTGACAGAAGCTAATGCCGTGACTCTGGAACGTGCGCAGGTGTTTGTTGGGCGTGTTGCTGTAATGAATAGGCTGGTGCTTCGCCGCAGACTAGTGATGACCGCTCGCACAACTGCACATTCTAATGCGTGTAGGTTTTATTATGGTTCCACATCACACTCACACAGGCCAGTGCGCCCCATGAATCTACCTAAATATAATCCACTGTGTCTCTATTGTCATCCCAAGTCTGTTTTGACATTTTGGCGCAACCGCTGTTTTTCTCGCCTATGTTATTCATTCCTCCAGCAGCCGATCGCGCACCCGATGCCACCCTGTATTCGGTTAAACTCAACTAGCTTCTACTTCCTTGCACCCTGAAGAGGGCTGTGACGTGGGCATTCCCTGAACAGAAACTATCACCAGCTGCATCTCTGTATCTTTTCCTAACCTCTTTTTCCATGTCAGGATACTGTTTCGATGTGTTTAGTCGTATTCGTGTTGCAGAACTGCAATGAATACCCTGTATATGGCTTCAACTAGCTCAGTTGCTATGACCATATCCTTTGGCGATATACATCAACGATATCCGTGGTGCGGACATCAGTTTGGCCGCTTCTGCATGATCCTAATTCCCAGGTTGTCATAGCTGGTCACCATTTCCGTCCTTGTACTTGATAGGCCTGACTAGTGCTTCTTGAGCTTCCCCCGCTACTGTCGTGCTCGTCTGGTGGGTATTCTACTAAGGGACATGCACTTCCGTAGTCTTTTTGTGTCCTTCCAACGGGTCCTTGAGGGCGTGTTTAATTCTGCTCGACTCCGAGCATTGGAGCTATATATGGTTTGACTGGGAAAGGCTCAGCATATGATGCGCTTAATTTCATCCGTAGTTTGGCGCAAATACGGCGGCACTACTGCGGTGCATACCTTTAGTTTCCAGATGTGGGTCCAGGCTCATACAAGGACAACGATTCTGTAGAATCTCTGGTGGCGCCGCGCGTGTCATATCATGGAGTTCACTATTTGGGTTAATCACGTAGGATATATATATATTCATGCCTGGCCTCTTGGCCACTGGATGCTTTTCTTGGTGCACATGTTCTTGGCAGCGTCCCCAAAACTTTTCGGCTCGGTCTTCATATTTAGAGAATTCTCTACCGGTCTTTGTGTGTGGGCCGTGTGGGAGCGTCCATAGGAAGTTCCAAGTACTAGGGGGTCGAGTCTCTCTCTTTTCTTCTCTTCATTCATGTTGTAGACTTTGTTGCCAGCGGATCCAAGGGCCCGGTTGCTTCGATACGCTCAAGATTGTCTACCCTTCTGGGTTTTAATGTTTTGGGGTGCCCTCAGCCATCTTCTCGCGTATTATCAGCTTGCAGGCCGTGGATTGGGATAGGGCGTTGAGCCTGGCGCCGCTTTGGTTTAATTTAGGTTGGGTCGAGGGTGAGAGTGCCAGCGAGTCGTGTGTGTGTGTGTTTTTTTTTTTCTTTTGGGGAGGGGGGCTGCGGCAAGTTTGTCCGCTTCTTCGTTACCCTTTATTACGTCCAACCACAGATCACGATCGTGGCTAATCTTCAAACCTATGGGAAAAAAAAAAAAGCTCGGAGAATAGCATCCATACTACAATTCAAGGTACATATACACAGGTTAAACAAGAAAGCGCATCTCTGTGCGACCAGCAACACCGAACAAGCCCCAACAAACGATGATGGATCTCGTCGTCACTTATGCTTCGTTCTGTTCTCCTTTCTTGAAGACCTCACTGGAGCATTTTGCATTGACCCTTGTGGCGGGCTTTCCAATCCACCTTCTATAAATTTAAATCCCCAGTGATTAATATTTATATGATGCGGTGAGGGATATAGTGTAGGTCCATATCCATATCCATATCCATACCTGACAGTTAACGCTACAATAATGCGGCAGCTGCAGGGGCGCCGGTTATATGTGTGAGTTATCATAAAAAAAAAAAGAAGAATGGCACGATCACTTACTCCACATCCCCCACACTGTTTAAGCTCATTCCTGGTGAAGAGCTGCCCGGGACACTTCCCTCGGAAGGTGAGACCGAGGGGATTATCGCGCGATAAGATGACGCTCTAACCTTGTAATTCGAACAGCAAAGTTGACCAAGAGCAATTCCGCGAACCCTTACGTCTCTAGCCTCCTGGACTTTTCCCATAGATTGCAGCGTTTGGGCCAAGTTTTCCCTGGTCACTGCAGCATCGTACTCATGGTGATCACGTCCCTGTAGCAGCTCCGATCGGATGGCTAAGCTCTCTCTTAGGACTTCATACGCCTCATTATATTTCCCCTGGTTGTACAATGCTTCCCCAAGCGCATTTTTTGAGACCGCGATTCCGACTACGTCCCTAGGGTCGTGCGTTTCTTTGAGTTTCAGGGCCTCTCGGTGGAGGCGCTCTGCGAATACATGATTACCACTTTGCGCCACTTGGAGAGCCAAATGCGATAACCTCCACGCCTGCCGAAGGCCCGTATCCATTGAATCAGAGGTGACTTGATGCACGGACATGTTCATGGTGGCTGACTAGCTTGGGGAAGGATTGGCGATGTCACGGTGGTTCGAAATCGAAATCGAAATATTATTTGAGGACCTCGACAACCGAGGTTAATGCGGCAGTGTCCGCATTCAGCCCGGTCACTGACTCCAAACCTACAACACGCTGCGTGCAAACTACGTGGCAACTCGACAAGTTTCAAGGGCTTTCCATCAGCCCTGTAAGTATAACTGCCCATCTTCGCTAGGTTACACTGTGTGCCTTGTCTGCGCTAGCCTGGCCTGGACTGACGACCCTACGGTGGGCTTTGCTGTCTGCATGTCAATGCCCCGCGTATAATATACTGTCGGCGGAACCCAAAATCGAATTGGCTGGCGACAAACAAGGACAACTTGAAATCGGTCAAGATCCCATTTAAACACCACACCATCATGTCAAGCATTCCTCCGTTACTTGTTCTATACTATCATGCTCGCCTTGGATGGATGTTCCATTGGTCTTTCTAAAGTGCCCTCCGAATACCATCCTTTGTTGCGTTTCTACCCTGATAAGTCCGAGCGTAGAAATTGGAGCTATGTCTAAATTCAACTGGGAACCGCTCAGCACGTACGGGCTTTCATCCCTAGTTCGACACCGATATAGGGGCTGGGGGAAACAATTTCAGATGTACCACGTTGTCGCTGTGCCCTTCTCGATGATGTCCGGGCTCTCAGCAGGAGTTCACACCTCATGTGGTGCCACTATTTTCCTCTCCACCACGGGGCGTGTTTCCAACTAGAAGCGAATTGTTGGCGCTAGGCCGGCTATGAATCAGTAGACACTCTTAAATGCGTGCAGAGTACTAGCAGGCCGGCGCATCCATATCTGAGTTTGGGATTCGTCTCTTCGCCGGAAGCATGACCCTGCGCGCGCATGCTAACGTAGTCACGGACATCTGCAGCCGACCGTACATAACTAAGAAGTAGTCGCAGAGATATAGTATGCAGCCGATTTCACCTAGGGTATATATGGATTTGGAATACTTCCACTATTTAAGCATTGAACGTCCCTTAGCTTCGTTGAATGCAGCTTTTACGCCTCAACAAGTACGTACACTCCAGTTGCATTTTCACAACAGTCTCTTAATCATGCACCGGCATTGAAGTAGGAGGACAACTCAGTGACTGCGGTCTGCCAGCATTATCAATGCTGATACGTATTTCAAGTACTGTTGAATAAACGGATATTGTGGCTAAACTCTGGTTCCCAGCCCCACTTGCATGCAATCCCATCTTCGCTCCACAACCTAAGTGGCGGATGCTTCTATTTGCAATTCCATCATAAAATTGATCCCAACCCCTTTTAAGCCCCACACCCGGTGCTCCATGTGGACGACTTGATGGGGCTCGTGGTGTCAGACCGATTAATTTACTACTTCCATCACCCAATCTCTACTTCCGAAGTCGCGGCGCAACATCTTGTGGGCATAGTCACACGCAAGGGTGCTCATTCGTAAGATGACGTGGGGGGCGATATGTATATTAATGTTGAAAATCTAGGAGGGTCAGGTGTAGAGAGTGACCTGCTCATGCGCGTCTGATAAGGCGGGCTACCGTAATAAACAGTACAATAATAGGGGGGTCTCCTTGTGTGTTAAAAGCGGGAGGACCCATCCAATTAAGGGATTCTACCAACATTAATAACGGCGGTGGCTAATTAATTACCCTCAAGGGGATTCGGTTCCGTGATCCGAGGAAAGCTGGATTTACATCATTCTCCGGTTTAGAAGATGGTTGATCCGAAAATCGGGAGGATGGGTTCTCTAGTTGAATCGTGGAATTATCAAGGCTTTACACGCTTAGTCAGATGGAGGTCAAGTACTATCGCGAGGAATTTGACGTGATGAAAGTCCACTGGACGGTTAATTATGATAGCTGTTGTATACTTCCAATATGCTTTATGAGAAACTGGTGACGTTAAGAAGTGAACATGGAGGGAAAGTAGGCACTGGGACAATGATACGGGAACAAGAAAGATGTCTTATGCCTTGCCATTTATAATCACCGGAACCACGACGAAATATCATTTGTTATACATGATATACAAAGTGGATGTTTGAACGCAGGGTGACCTCGGAGTTATCGAATGGCTGAGACCAGCGAATCCATGATGACGTGCAATGGTCTGCGAATCCCAGCTGCAGACGAGTTGGCTATTAGACACTCGGACTGGATTGAATGAGCCCACATGATATCATAGTCACCCATTAAGCCCCTTCTGTATGCGTGCTTATAGAGCATCCGTGTCCTGCATGCGGATTAACAGCTGAATCCATTCAGTTTGCCGCCCTTTTCCCCTGACCCGCCGGTCCTCCAATTACAAAACAGGTGAGATGACGAAGAATATATACATCTTATCCGAGATGGGGAATAAAAGAAGACCAAGACGGCGTTCGATATAGAGAAAGAGAAGGAGAGCGGAGGGATGCGAACGTCAGTGCGAAGAGGATAATCCGAGCGACGACATAAATCGTCCCAATGGGTACACCAAACCCTCTGTCTCCATGGGTTCTCGTGCCCCTCAATAATTCTGATCCACCGAAGCCAAGGGCAGGGGCTACTGTAATATATACTGCACAAATGCGCCATATAAATAATTCCGCGGGTGTCGGAAAAGGGAAGGACCACGCAGAACAGTGAATTCCGCCAAAGATGGCGCCGGTGATTACAAGTATCCAAAAGGGATGCAATTCAACAAATGCATCACAAGCTCGGCCAATGGCTCTGGCCGCGAGTGAAGGCGAATCCACCTCCTTCTCTACTTCAAGAGGCACTTTAGCGACATTGGCCTCGGAAGTTAGAGCGTGAGCAGGGTCCCCTTTCATCACTTGAATTGGCGAACGGATATCAAGGGGCTTGTGCCACCACAACGCGCAGATGATGACGCTCAGTCCGGAATATCCAAGCGTCATCGTCTCAAGCTGCGATCTGTGCAGATGTCCCACCCATCGCCCCATATATTGAACGATGAACCACAGCAATTGAAGAGATACAATAGACTTGGATAAAAAATCGCCTTTGCTTTTGCGGAGAATTTCCTGTTTCGTCACCCCGACAACCTGACGATTTCCCGTCTTCTGAATGATGCCAGGGTATTGGCCAAAGAAGGAGGGATCATATCGACGAAAGAAACGTGTCGTTGGGTCAATGAATCCTCCCATCATGACAAAGTGTGAATGCACAAGTGTCCACCCTAGCATGTGAAAATCAATAGGTGTCAAGCGTTCGTCTCAATTGATTCACTGCATACCTTCGACATTTTTACATTTCCTTGATAATTTCCAGGCTTTTGAGAATTCATCCCATGCCTTAGCAACAACCAATTCTGGGAAAATCAGGGAACTCCTCATTAAGCCGAAACGATCATCCCTATTCACAATCTCCCCCACCAGATCCATACCACCCCTATCTCCTTCCACCACATTCGGGTGTACAGCCGTCCATACGCAGATGAATATTGTTAGGAGGCAGCTGTAAACGAGATTCCACATGGTACGGCAATTCCGAAGGTCATTGCATGCTTCCGATACGTTTATCGACAAACTGGTGGTATTGAGAGGTGGATAGGTGAGGATCGGCGCGGCGTAGGCGTTGTTGGCGAGAATAAACGTGATGAGAGCGGTTGTCATTGGAACGGGGAGTACAACACGGAAACGACATTCGCCTGGAAGCTTTATACGTCACTGGGAACATAGCCTTCTGTCAACCACGCAGCTTCCGCGAGGAGGGTCGCAACGTCCAAATCAAATTCAGCTCATTCGCACAACAGCGAAGCAGTCTTTGCAAGGGATTTACATAAATGGGGGGTCTACTTGATATGATGACGTCGATCTCACAAAGCTCTTGCCGATTAGAGGTCAGTGGATTTCAACTGCCTTTCTAGAAATCAAGGGCTGGGGTGCAACAGGGGTTTCGGGGGATCAGCGAATTCGATGCCGGAACTCCCATCGAAGCAGAGATTAAGACACAAGGGAATGTGTACCGCTTGGAAAAACCATCGAGCTTTTCTAAGAAGGTATGGAATCACGCGGCGCGGGCGCGCGGGTTCTCGGAAATTAATCACCGTATCCTTGTTCCCCCACAAGCAGTACACGTTGAACACGCATGGGCCTCGAGGCAAAGCCTGTCCTGTCCTTATCAGTCTCTCACAAGCTGTCAGAGAAAACCCAGGCCAGGCGGAATAAGAGCACTTAGTTTATTGGGATGTTGCTTCCCCACGAGACAGGCACAAAGGTCACGCCAGAGCTGAGATCGGCGTACTTTTGCCTGGTGACAGGGTGCGCGAATGGTTGCATCCATCGGGCTCGCCGCTCCCATTGCACATGTCATCTGGAATACAGGTGTCGGCTGTACCGTTCAGCCCGACCCTGATGGTCCCCGGCTGGCGCAGTACTGCTGTCTTGATCGGATGCGCGGACACCGCGTGAGAATCTCGGGCCAAATCATTCGCAAGCATCAGTTCGCGATGAGCCGGTCATGCAATCCTCAAGAAAGGACTTGGACAAACCGACTTGCGAGCGACTCGGACAAGAATGCCTTGTCCAAGCGTTTCGGCGGAAGGAAAACGAGGAACCAGTATGGCAAAGAACGGTTCACCAAAACTAAGGGAAGAGAAAGAGGCATGTTTGTTAGCTCCCATGGATGGCGTACGTTTAGACACACATATGACTTCGTAACGTGCGCACACATTGATCCGCTCATCGACGATATATTGAGCTTGGTTGACCCTTGCACGTCACGGTAGCACATTATCCTTACATTGTTTGCCACATCAAGTGCCTGAGTTGTCTGTGAAGAATGAGCTTTCGTACTCACCTGAATTTAGCCCCCGAATCAGTGGTTATGTCGGGTTGAAGTGGGACAGTATCGGAACGGACGATGGAGCTGAGTTATGTAGAGGATTAAAGGGGGCTTCGTTGGATAGATGGATTCGTGATGAGTGCCTGTGTTGTTACTTACGATGCGCCATCTAGTGCATCTTGTTTGAGCGGGTGAAGGGTGGAATTTTCATGGGACTGGAATGAGGGTCAAGTGCAAAAGGTTATTGACCGCCGCACCCGCTCTTCCTTGAAGACATGACCTCATTCTACGAGACGGGATTCGACCTCGCATCACTTACATCGCCATTGCTATCGCCAAGTCAACGTTGACACAACTGATACTGCTCTCAATGCATTATATTAGCAAGGCCGGGTGGAAATTGAAATGTACGCGTCAGCATCCACTGGCAATTAATGGCGCTGAAGCAGTGTCCCGACGAGATATCTAAAGCAGATCTTTGACCATGAGGCGGTGCAAGGCGACTTCAGAGTTTTCGAATGGCTGAACCAGTGAACCCATGTCCTGTGATGATGACGTCCGCGGGTGGCAATGGTCTGCGAATTCCAGCTGCAGACGAGTACATTAGCTACTGGACACCCGGACTGGATTGAATGACATCATAGTTGCGCATTGAACCCCTTCCATATGAGTGCTTATATTATAGAGCATCCGTGTCCTGTGTGCGGATCACCAATGCAAATAGCTAAATCCATCCAGGTTGCTGCTCAATTAATGAGTCGCCTCGTATCTGATACACAAACATTCGGTGAGTGATGACAATCGGACAAGAAAACTTGAAGGTGCTCATGATGTAACCACATCCAGTTACTATGTATGATTAGCCATCGCGTCGGGTCCTAAAGCACCAGCCGCTCTTTCCTCGTTGCAGGTGTCCCCCGACCGAACATGTGAGATGATAAGAATTATACAACTTATCCGAGATGGGGAATGAAGGAAGACCAAGGCGGCGTTCGATATAGATCGGGGGTCGGAGAGCGGAGGGATGCGAACGTCAGAGCGAAGAGGATAATCCGGGCGACGACGTAAATCATCCCAGTGGCCCAACCAAAGTCTTCGTAGAAATGGTGAAACCTTGCGTTCCTCAATATTTCTGATCCACCGAAGCCAAGAGCAGGAGTTACTGTAATATACACCGCACAAATGCGCCACATAAGTGATTCCGTGTGTGTTGGAAAAGGGAAGGACCACGCGGAACAGTGAATTCCACCGAAAATGGCGCCGGTGATTACAAGTATCCAACGGAAATCCAATTCAACAAATGCGTCACAAGCCCGGCCAACGACTCTGGCCGCAAGTGAAGGCGAATCTGCCTCATTCTCTACTTCAAGAGGCACTTGAGTGACGTTGGCCTCGGAAGTCAGAACATGAGCAGGGTCCTCTTTCGTCACTTGAATTTGCGAACGGACATCAGGGGGTTTATGCCACCACAACAGGCAGACGATAATGCTCAGTGCGGAGTATCCAAGCGTCATTGTCTCAAGCTGCGATCTGTGCAGATGTCCGACCCATCGCCCCACATATTGAGCAATGAACCACAGTAATTGAAGTGATACAACAGACTTGGATAAAAAATCGCCTTTGCTTTTGCGAAGAATTTCCTGCTTCGTCACCGCGACAACCTGACGATTCCCCGTCTTCTGAATGACGCCAGGGTATTGGCCAAAGAAAGAGGGATCATATTGAGGAAAGAAACGTGTTGTTGGGTCAAAGAAACCTCCCATTCTGACAAAGTGTGAATGCACAAGTGTCCACCCTAGCATGTCAAAATTAATAGGTCAAGCTCCGTTTCATCATTCCCTGCATACCTTCGACATTTTTACATTCCCTTGATAATTTCCAGGCTTCTGAGAATTCACCCCATGCCGCAGCAACAACAACTTCTGGGAAAATCAGGGAACTCCTCATTAAGCCGAAACGACCACGTCCCAGTATAATCTTCTCTATCAGATCCGTATCATCCACATCCCCTTCCACCACATCCGGGTGTACCGCCGTCCATACGCAGATAAATATTGTTAGTAGACAGCTGTAAACGAGATTCCACATGGTACGGCAATTCCGAAGGTCATTGCATACTTCAGATACGTTTATCGACAAACTGGTGGCGTTGAGAGGTGGATAGGGGAGGATCGGCGCGGCGTAGGCGTTGTTGGCGAGAATGAACGTGATGAGAGCGGTTGTCATTGTAACTTGGGGATACAACACGGAGGCGACATTCGCCTGGAAGCTTTATATTATACGATAGAGCCACTGGGTACATAGCCTTCTGTCAACCGTGCAGCTTCTGCGAAGATCCATTTAAAGCCTAAAATCAAATTCAGCTCATTCGCACAACACCAAAAGCAGTTTTTTACATAAATGGGGGATCTACTTGATGGCGTCGGTAGATTTCAACCGTCTTGCCGAGAAACCAAGAACAGGGGTGCAACAGGGGATTTAACGGGACCAATCCAAACGCTAGAACCTTCAAGAGCTCCAAGGGAGGATCGAACAGAACAAGTCTTTCATATTATTGACATTTTAAATGTCGAATCGTTACTGAGTCCCCTTAGACCGGGCCCAGATGATCTATTGCACAGCCCTCGATAAGACGTAAAGCACACCAACAAAAAAGGGGGGGTATATATGTCGCTCGAAAAATTGCCGGGCTTTTCTAAGAAGGTATGAAATTAGGCCGCGTGCACGCGCCCATTACCGGAAATTGAACATTGGATCCACATTCGCCTTAGACCCAAACAGCCCGAGACCTAAACGAGAGAGCATGAAGCCATGCCGCACTGCTGCACGCGCTCTCACAAATTAAGAGGGCCGTACCCCTGTTCACTTAGAGCAAGTGCGTGCCAGTTGAATATACATGGACATCACGGCAGTGTTAATTCTATCTCCCAGCCACAAGCCGCTGGAGAGAACTTAGCTGCCAGCAGAAAGCGCTTAAGAAGATCACTTAATTTGCAGTGCTGCCTCCTGACGAGATAGGCGCGAAGGATGACATCAAGGCTGAAATTAACGAACCTTTTAGGGTCAATCTTGGCTGAAAAACTACCTCAGAAGCAGGGGCGAAGTCTATTCCAATAGAGGCTGGTGACCTGCCTAGCAAAGTTGGCTTCGTGTAGATGGGATGGCTGTGGGCCCGCATGGGCGGTTAAAAAGTACAGAGGTGTGGGTCGCACTGCCACATTCGGGATTCTCCGGGAGATTGATCAAGTAATGAAGTTCGTCATATCAGAGCAATCTTGGGCATTGCGAGTGCAATGTGCTAGTAGGAGGTTTTCATATACTACTAGAAATCCTGGGACATGACACGTACAGCCGTATGTTCGCAATACCGATAGGATGCTTCGTCAACCACCCCAAGTTATGCTCTCATGTTCTGTCTTCAGGAGGACTGGGGATCCCCTCATTTCAAGCGTCTCGAAGGTCCCATCGTTGCCCCTCGACGACACGCGTCTATCGCTAGCCACATTAGCATCCGACGTTTTATGGGCATTGTCACTGATCACTATGCATGAAAATCGCACCATCACTGCCCCAAGGTTTCCTGCGCCTCCCCATGGTTACATCCACATCAAGAATCAATGGGATTAAGAGGCTACATCTGCGGTATCTTCTGAATACTATGGCATGTGACTGAGGCGATCGGGATCAAGAAGCTTTTCGGTGTACAGATTAGTCACTTTGCGTTTGTCGCATGCGCATGAGTCTGATTTACACGTTTATGCCAGCTGTGTTAGGAAAGTGTTATTTGATGTCGATCTAGGCAACTGTGTCGCCTACTGAGGGTGAGCTCCAGCGCATGCGCGCAAACTCTTGCCCAGCTGTCTTTGTGTTCTGGAAGGCCTGCATCTTTTAAATGGGACGAATTTAAAGGTTCTCAACTTTGGGGCCGTGCTTTATTCTCATGAATTTGGCTTTCCGGGTTTGCTACTCACCGCGTTGGAACTCGAGCAACAAGAGTGCATGTTGATGTGCGCGGCAAATAGGAGGAAACATGTGACCAAGCTTGTGCTACTGTTCAGTCTACACTGGGGGCACAATAATTCCATGGTCGAAGCGACCCTCGTCCTGGATGGATCTGGCGGGTGTTGTCTGTACGAGTGATTGTTGATGGAACGGTCCATTCTTTGTTCCATGGGAGCCCGGCCCCTCGACCACAAAGCCAGAGAGCCCAGTCTGTTCTAACTCATGTTTGGCCTGCAATGAATTAGTGCGATAACAAATATTGCTAAAAGCACAATCTAACGTCCAATTGTTGGCCCCATGGGGCGGCAAAGGAAGAAGGTGAGGATGCGTAGGGTCGCCGGTGGCTGGAGGGTGTAGTGGTCGGAAGGCATCAGCTAGACGATGGCGCCTTCATCGGGGACGGTATACACAGACTCAGACATCTGTGGTTACAGCACTTGACTTTAAGACTCTACAGCTATCCCAACCAAGCCGCCTGCTGAGCTGGTGCTTCAACACATCGCATGAAGGCTTAGGTCCGTCCATGTAAGGTCCGTGTCAAGTGTTTGCTGAGACAGCAGAACTCCTCGGCTCACATCCGTCGTCGGGACCCCCTGATCCCGCAAGCGGCGCAGGAGGCCACGGCTCAGCATGTGCCTCTGGCTCCGGTCCACTGCGATAGGGCGTAGTCTAGTTCATCTAGTTTAATGCCGGTGTGTGGTTGGTGGAGCATCCTAGTCTTGACCATGCGTCGTATCATTCCCCAGCATGTGAAACGTTGAATGCATCATGCATTGCGCACGTCACAGTTTCCAAGAGACCTTCAAGCTGCAATCCCTGATGTTTCGTTTTCCCAACATTCGTCTTCGGGTGGTGTTGCACGCTTCCGATATGTTTATGAGAAACTGGCGACGTTAAGAGGTGAACATGGAGGGAATGTAGCATGGGAACGAAGATATGGGAACAAGAAAGACGTCTTATGCAGTGGCGACACTGTGCAGTGCAGGGCTGGTTCCGGTGATTAGTTATAGTACCGCGCGCCAGTCGTGGAAGTTGGAATGTACGGGTCAGCATCCACTGCCAATGGCGTTGAAGCAGTAGCCCGACGAGTTAAACGGGATAAGCAAAGCGGATCTTTGACGTACCATGAGGCGGTGTAACGCGACCTCAGAGTTTTCGAATGACTGAGACCAGTTAACCGTTGTTCTGTGATGATGACATCCGCGGGTGGCAATGGTCTGCGAATTCCGGCTGCGGACGAGTTGGTCATGTACTAGACACTCGGGACTGCCGCATGATATTATTGAGCCCCTTTGGTATGAGTGCTTATAAAGGATCCGTGTTCTGTGTACATGTACGAATCACCAATACAAATAGCTAAATACATCCAGGTTGCTGCTCAAACCGCTCGCCAGCTCGTATCTGACACACAAACACTCGGTGAGTGACATGACAAGGAAACGCTCATGATGTAACCACATCCAGTTACTATGTGTGTATTAGCCGTCACGTCCTAAAGCACCAGCCACGTCTCTTTTCTCGTGGCCGTGCAGGCCTCTGTATGCAGCTAGCTGTCCTTGGACGTACAGAACATGTGAGATGACTCGGATGAAGAATATATTTATCTTATCCGAGATGGGGAAGAAAGGAAGACCAAGGTGGCGTTCGATATAGAGAAGGAGAAGGAGAGCGGAGGGATGCGAACGTCAGGGCGAAGAGGATGATCCGGGCGACAACATAAACCGTCCCAATGGCCCGACTAAAGTCTGAGTGGGAACCGTGAAACGTTTTGTACAACATTCGTGATCCACCGATACCAAGAGCAGGAGCTACTGTAATAGATACTGCACAAATGCGCCACATAAGTGATTCCGCGTGTGTTGGAAAAGGGAAGGACCACGCAGAACAGTGAATTCTGCCGAAGATGGCGCCGGTGAGTACAAATATCCAACTTGCATCCAATTCAACAAATGCGTCACAAGCTCGGCCAATGGCTCTGGCCGCAAGTGACGGTGAATGTGACTCATTCTCTACTTCAAGAGGTACTTGAGTGACATTGGCCTCGGAAGTCGGAAGGTGAGTAGAGTCCCCTCTTGGCGTCACTTGAATTGGCGAACGGATATCAAGGGGCTTATGCCACCACAACGCACAGATGATAATGCTCAGTGCGGAGTATCCAAGCGTCATTGCCTCGAGCTGCGATTTGTGCAAATGTCCGACCCATCGCCCCACATATTGAACGATGAACCATAGTAATTGAAGAGATACAATGGACTTGGATAAAAAATCGCCCTTGCTTTTGTGGAGAATGTCCTGTTTCGTTACTGCGACAACGTGACGATTTCCCGTCTTCCGAATGATGCCAGGGTATTGGCCAAAGAAAGAGGGATCACGTCGACGAAAGAAACGTGTCGTTGGGTCGATGAAACCTCCCATTTCGACAAAGTATGAATGCACAAGTGTCCATCCTAGCATGCGAAAATCAATAGGTGTCAAGCGTTCGTCTCAATTGATTCACTGCATACCTTCGACATTTTTACATTTCCTTGATATTTTCCAGGCTGCTGAGAATTCTTCCCATGCCATAGCAACAACCCATTCTGGGAAAATCAAGGAACTCCTCATTAAGCCGAAACGATCACGTCTCTCCATCACCTCTTCAATGCGATCCCCCATGCTCAGATTCATGCGCCGGTGATGCTCAACATTCGGATGCACAGCCGTCCATACGCAGATAAATATTGTTAGGAGGCAGCTGTAAACGAGGTTCCACAGAGTACGGCAATTCCGAAGGTCATTGCATGCTTCGGATACGTTTATCGACAAACTGGTGGCGTTGAGAGGATAGGGGAGGATCGGTGCGGCGTAGACGTTGTTGGCGAGAATAAACGTGATGAGAGCGGTTGCCATTGGAACTTGGGGATACAACGTTTTGTCTGGAAGCTTTATACGGTAGCGCCACTGGGTGCATAGCCTTCTGTCAACCGCGCAGCTTCGGCAAGGAGGTCGCAACATCCATTTAAAGTCCAATTCAGCTTATTCGCACAACAGCGATGCAGTCTTTGCAGGGGATTTACTTGATCTCACAAAGCTCTTGCCGATTAGAGGTCAGTGGATTTAAACTGCCTTGCTGGAAATCAAGAGCAGGGGTGCAACAGGGGTCTCGCGGGATCAGCGAATTCGACGGGCGCCGGAACTCCCATGATCTTCAAGTTATGAACAGAACAGGCATTTCATATTGACATCTTGCATGGGCAGGATACCAGCCTCTAATGGAATATCCACGCACCTCTGTTTGACTCTGCAGAAGCAATGTCCTGTCTAGGTGGATCAAACACAACGTGCAGCTTCGTTTCGGCTATCGAGTTACCGGTCTGTAACGACGGACTACGTCATGGCAGTACATTATCCTGTTGTTTGCCGCGTCAGGATGAGTGTTGTCCATGAAGAATGAGCTTTCATAATACAGGCCTGGGTTTAGCTCAGCTCACTCGGTGGTTATGCACGTTGGGTTGAGGCGGAACAGGACCCCGGCATACTCCGTCTGATGTCCGTTCGGAGTTCTGGCGCTGAGCGCAGTGCAAAAGGTTGTTGGCCGCCGCACCTGTTCTCCCTCGAAGACATGACCCGACCTCGCATCACCTACATCGTCGTTGCTATCACAGTCAGCGATCAAGTTAGCACAACTGATAATGCTCCCAGCCAATGCATTAGCAAAGCCGCTGCTAACTACAATGTCGATACTCAGCAAACCCTCGGCATGTACATAGTACGTATGTATTAGCCGTTCTAGATCTAAAGCGTCAGCACTCTTTCCTTGTAATCGGGCGCCTCCAACTGACAACATGTGAGATGATGAAGAATATGTACATCTTATCCAAGATGGGGAATAAATTGGAAGACCAAAATGGCGTTCGATATAGATTAGATCGAGCGGAGGGATGCGAATGTCAAAGTACGTAAAAAGGATGATCCGGGTGACGACGTCATGGCCCAACCAAAGTCTTTCGTGGAAACGGTGAAACCTTGATATTTCTGATCCACCGAAGCCAAGGGCAGGGGCTCGTTGTGATATATATACTGCACATATAAGTGATTCCGCGTGTGTCGGAAAAGGGACAGACCATGCCGAACCTAGTGAACTCCACCAAAGATGGTGCCGGTGATTACAAATATCCACCCATTATCCAATCCAATGAAAGGAGAAGCTGGATTTGCCTGCATTGGGAGGCACCTGATTGCTGGGAAATCGGAGTGTCACTTGAATTGACATCAGGGGGCTTATGCCACCACGACACGCAGACGATAATGAGCAATGAACGACAGCAAAGCCTAGACAACGGACTTGACTAAAACATCGCCCTTGCTTTTGCGGAGAATTTCCTGCATCGTCACCGCGACAACCTGATGGTTTTCCGTCCTCTGAATGTATTGGCCAAAGAAGGAGGGATCATGTCGACCAAAGAAACGTGTTGTTGGGTCAAAGAAACCTCCCATGCCATACCAACAACAAGATCCGGGAATATTAGGGAACTCCTCATCGAGCCGAAACGATCATTTCATCTTCCAGATCCATATCGCCCTTATCTCCTTCCACCACATCCGGGTGTACAGCGGTTCATAGACAGATAAATATTGTTAGGAGACGCTCAGGCTGTAAACGAGATTCCACACGGTACGGCAATTCCGAAGGTATTTGCATGTTTCGGATATGTTTGTTGACAAACTGGTGGCATTGAGAGGTGGAGTTGCGAAGATCGGTGCGACATAGACGTTGTTGGCTAGAATGTTCATTTAGTATGATCTAGCGATCGATACTAGGTACACAGCCGGGTTCTGTTAACCTTCTGCAGGTTTAAAGCCCATATCAAACTAATCAGGGTTGACTGAGGTCGTAGCGGGAGACGGCCCAGGAGGCCCAGAATGTATTGGGAGCAAGCAAGCGGCGCGAGACACGCGTGAACCGGCTACAAGTACAAAGAAGTTCCAGACAAAACAACAGAAATACACAAGAAAGTAGAACAACGGATGATAATAATACATGCAAATTCCGGAACGGGTGGAAACCAGAAAAAGATATATATGGAAACAGAATACACGCAAGATCGGAAACGAAACGAAGTAATCGGTGGTGAAAGGGGAGGGGGTGGGAGAGGCGAAACCAAACTAGTGTGAGACTGCAGCAACGGATATGCGCGAGTCGAGGGGGAAAAGCAGCAAGGGAAACAGGGAGGCAGTAGCGGCAGCAGCGGCAAAATCACGAGAGTGAGTTCGAAAGAACAGCAGCAAGTTGGCCTTGTACGCACCACGAGAGTCGCGAGAGATTCAGGCGATAAGGAAGGAAAAGGGGGCGCTGTGAAAGCCCTTTTTATAAGCACGGCCTGAATTGTCGTGAGCACTCTCGTGATAAGTGAGGTTCAGTACGTACCTCCGCTGGTGTGGTCCGCTTCGCGCATCCGCGCCAGAAAACCCAGCATACGACTGAGGCACGGTCCCTGGGTCCATCAAATGGTCAGGTTGCGCAGCAACTCGTGAAAGCGGCAAAGGGGCAAGTGCGGTGCTGAGACAGGCGCATCGGGGTGATCGAGCCAGGGGAAGTCATAGCGTTGGCTGAGCCGAGTTCGATCGTTGCCCCGTGATTAGTCTCGTGAAATGAAAACATTAAACAACAATCCAACCAATTCACACCGTATGGCAAAGCAATTTTTGCAATGCATGGAATCATGCTGCCCGGTTCTCTGAAATTGACACATCGAATCTGTATTCATTTTGTGCCTGAACAGACCAAAACGAGAAGGTATGAGACAACACCGCACGGGCGCGCGAGTCCCAATCACTGTTTTCTCGCTCACTCAGAAGAAGTTGCGTGTTGAACGTGCGTGAGCATTGAGCCGGAGTCAATTGTCGTTATCAGTCCCTTGGGAATTGTCAGAGGAAGCTCAGGCCAGTGGAGAGTAGAACTGTTGGAATTTAGCACGTGGTCTTTTAGGGAAACCTAAAAGTTGGACATACTGGGAATCGAACTCCAGTCTTCTGGATCGCGAACTCAGCGTGCACAGCCATTACACCATACGCCCTGATAGGCTGAGGTGGTTATTTCAACAAGAACTACTTAGTTGGTGGCGATATTGACTCACGAGACAAGTGAAGAGATCACGCCAGAGCTGAGATGATCGGGTGCGTGCGCATCAACATTGCTGCGGATTCCTAGCTGAATAGTATCCTCAGAAGTAAAGGTGACGCTGCGAGTTCGCCAGTATACGCCAAATTGCAGTGCTTGCAGTATGTACAGACCTACCTACTTATGTGCCTGCATCACCTAATTGAGAATGGCTGAATTTATCGGGGGGTTGCGTCGTTTCACGACCATCCCCTGCTAGCACAGTATATACTGTATCAATTAGATGCACGGACACCGCATTCTTGGTAAAGTGTGAATCTCAGGCGAAAATGATTGCTAGTGCTAGTCAATAATAAACCGATCATGGAATCCTCATGCTTAGGCTAGAAAGTCAAGCTGACGACCCGGACAAGAACCACATGTTATCCAAGTATTTTAGTAGAAAGGAAGGACCACTAGGATGACAAAGAACCGTTCACCAAGAGTAAGGCCCCAGAAAGGAACAGAAAGAGGCATCCCCCATAAATAGCGTTTAGACATACAGATGGCTCCGTAACGTGCACATTGATCCACCCATCGACAATTCGACAGAATCCTGAATCCGCCATCCAGTTCCCCACCGTTCGAAATTGAGTATGCATCACGCAAACCAGTTGGTCTTGCCGATGCTCTTAAAATGTACCTGAAATGGGCACAGTCATGACTCAATGCTAAATCGATATGTCTAGCCACGAGCGCTATACCAAAGTGATGAGAACGAGGATACAGTCTGTCAGGCAGCGGAACACATCGTCGAAGCACAAGGCCCGGAGACATTTCTCCGAATTTTTGCATCCGTTGTTCGAAGGTCAACATACTGTCAACAGCATTGGCCGCGTTCTTCACATAAATATCTGCCCTCTGATCGATAATTAAGCAGCATATGGAGCCTCATGCGAATAATCCCCCACAAGTATGTGAAAAATTATGTCTTTGTCTTGAACAGCCTCTGATGTTGAGTGCTAGCGTCTGATCATCAGGGTAACGAAAACCACGACTGTGGAAATAACACCTGACAATCACACGGGGGCGTCCCGCCCATCCAAGGCTCGTCAAGTCCCACCTTTTCACTTCGGCACTCATGAACTGATGTCTACTGCACACCAGGTGTCTTGGGTGGAGGCTGGGCCAACTGGAGGTGCCAAAACCGGCACCTCAAGAGCAGCCAAACGTCATGGATAAGTAGTGTGAGTGTCAGTAAACTGTTGTTTCAATAGGACTGACAATCATTGTGGAACGGCACCTCGGTCGCCAGCTGACCAGAAGGAACAGGGTGACTGCGAATACGGTTGTCGCGGCACGTTTGAGCTTTCTGATTAACATGACGGCCGCGGTGATGGGATGAATTCACAAATTGCCACCTATCACTGGCAGCCCACGAGTTCAGCGAGACCATCACCTCCCTACTTCATCCTGCGTGTGCCTACTCTTCAATGAATCTATCTCAACCTTTGTACCCATTCCAAGTGGAGGAATCTCAGGAAGATTTCGTCGGTTGAGTTGTGCAATCATTAATCATTGACAGTATGTTCACTGAGGAGGCCGAGAGGTAGGATATGTGAGTTTGGGCACCGTTCAGTCGTCTCTGGGGTAGGTCTGCTGCAATACTCCCGGTCTGTCCTCAGCCACGACGATTTCGAGGTGCAGGGCATTGAAATCACAGCTCCTAGAGGTCTGAGGTGCAGCTTCAGGCAAGTGATTGTGTCTGGGATCGATAAGGGCTGGTGGTTGGGAAAAAGTTATCGGCTAACTCGCTTGTTGCAGTCATGCGGCCACATGGATTCTATGCATCATCGATATCCTTGTTATGGTAACGCGATTGAGATGAGCTACCGCTAAGCTGCTAAGCTGCACCGTTTCAGCCTGCTTCGAGATTGAACTAATGCCATCTTCCGTGAAGAACGTTCGTGCTGGTCCTGATTCTATTGGTGTGTCGTTGTGCACGCGCATATACTATACGGTACTAGGGGTCGGATTCTCTTAGTAGTCTACGTGCATACCGCGGTGGATTGGACTGGTTCTGGCCCACAGCGCGACAACCCCACTCGTGAGTACCGAATGATACCCCCGAAAGACCTGCTTCGCTTCAATGCTGCGACACGTAGTCAATACTAATCGCAGATCCGTTCCGATCCGTTGGGACTTAGCTTGCCGAGACAATCAAGCGCAGAACAGGGAGATTGGAAGAAACTCACATCGTGGACGCCTTATTGATGATTGCTGCTGGAAAAATGAATGAACTAGAAGCGGATGTGGATGAAATGTGACGAGGCAGCTAAAGAAAAAGATGATGAGGGCAAGATTCGAACTCGCAAACCAAAGACTGCGTGTCCCAGGTCACTCTGATTCATTACAAGTCTCAACTAATCTCCCTGTTGCAGGCACCTCGCACTCGCCGTTCACGATGATATCTGCATATTCAGTGGAGGTTGGTATATACGTCCAAGTGTCCATCTGGAAAGTCTGACGTCTATCAACTGACGCAAACCTCATCTCACGCTTCCGTCTCTGCGTGGGACACACCAACAAGCATCGGCCTTTGTGAATAATACGCCCAACATAATTGCGTACTCTGTCTGCAACCTTAGATATGATGTCCCTGGAATAATGGCGAAACTCCTTGCCTGGAGGAGGATAGGCTAGCGGCAAAATTAACATCATCGATCGCAAATATAAATGGAATATTGCGCACTTTTGAGAACAGGGCTAAGCTCCTCACGAATATTGATTGGAATCGTAAATACGGAGAGCGCAGCTTCGTGGACCATTCTGGATTTCCCCATACCCGACGGCTGGATGACTAATAGAGACAAATTCTATGATCTGTGACTTGGGCTGTACCCGGCGCTTGACTGCCAATGCTCATTCAATATCTCGATAAGCAGCTTGTGTCTCTCTCCTCGATAAGGCTCTTGAAATGCTGACCGAAGACCTGACGCAACTTGTCAGGCAGATGAGGAACTCAAAGATAAACCCGCGAATACTTGAAAGCCCGCCACTCTCCTGATTGATAAGATCCGTCATATCGTAGCTTTGAATAGGTCAAGGCACGCTGCCTTAGTCGTGCGGTGGATGTTTCGGCGCGGATGCACCATTCTCAGTACTAAACTTGGGGGAGAGTGCTCACGCTTGTGAAAGCTCGAAGGACCCTCGACAACCCCCTTCTCTCTTCTCCCTGACTCCTGCCTCTTCTTCTTCACCGCACTAGCCATCAAAGTCTTACTACCGCTGTTCAAACTCCCACTAGAGCTCCTAGGTCTTCCTTTTTTCGTTTGGGATAAGGATATGGTGGGTGACGCGCTGCCTCTTCGTTATTATTGCCGTAGTGTTGATTGGGGACCTAATGCCAATGCGTGACAATTTGTGTCGTGTATAAATTACCTCGGAGAGTTGTCACTTCAGCCTACGCAGTGGTTTAAGCCGAAGGGCGGTATTGGCACGACGATTCTGCGATCCTTCAAACCACGTAAGCACTTTTACTTTCATTTTCTCACCTCTTCCCTCCAAATCCCTCGCTCCTCGTCTCATCCCCGCTCCCATCTTCCCGTTTGCGCGTGCACACATGACTGACGAATAATATTCCCTTCAAACAAAACAGCCGCTTCCGTCCTAATGACCCGAAACCAGACGGTCTACCCTCCATTCAAGTAAAACTAGGCTTTCTCATGCTTCACCCTCTGCCGCTTCCGGGGCACTCCTACCACAGCTTTCCAGTCCATCCTCCAAATCCAGAGCGATACTGAATCAGAAAATGAACAAATTTTCGCCAGACCACCTACGCAGGGCTTTGGAACGATCCGTTTGTTGACAAGTCCTCAGTCGAGTCTTAAGCGGGCCATCGTGGATTGAACTGGTCCTTAATGACGGTGGTCTTGACCTTCCTCCCGCCAAACTCGAGCGATACGTATTTGTGAGCGCCGGATGGCAGAGCAATGAAAGAAATGAGGTGGGAATGAAGGTAGAGAGAAGTAGGTACGTATGGATCATTCTTGCCGTTAGGAGCGGGTTAGCTTGTACAACCTAATATTTGAACCTTGAGTATGGAAAGAGGGAACTCCCCATCTATAGTGATGATCTGATATGCCAGACTTGTCAGAAGCCGAGTACATTGAAGAGGTGGACTTCCGTTGATCGAGCGGCGGAGCATGGGATCGTTGATTAGTTGCAGTTAGCTTATTATGGTGGTCAGTGGTTGCTGGCGTTGTTGTTGTTGATAAGAGAGCAAAGAGAGAGATAGATTGATGTGGAGTATATCAAATGCTATATATAACTTTGTAGATGCTTGTGACCTGCTGAAGGACAAAGAACCGGGGGGGGTGCATGCGTACAGGCGCGTCGGACATAGGAAGTATCTGGTAGCGATACTAGGCACACAGCATTCAGCCAATTCACACCGAATATACTGAGGTGAGACTTCTAACCAATCAGAGGGACTTGGGAATCGCGCCTCGAGTTGCTGGTGAGGTAGCGAAGTGGTCAAACGCGCTGGAATTAGGTTATCTAATGCATCCAGTCTTCGGTTCGCGAGTTCGAATCTCGCCCTCATCATCTTTTTTCTTTGGCTGCCTCGTCACATTTCATCCACGTAGTTCATTCATTTTGTCAATAAGGTGTCCGCGATGCGAATTTCTTCCAATCTCCCTGTTCTGCGCTTGATGGTCTTGGCAAAACGGATCGGAACGGATGTGCAGTTAGTATTTTCTATGTGTCGCAGCATTGAGGCAAAGCGGGCTTTTCAGAGGAATGTTTGGGTATCATTCGGTACTCACAAGTGGGGTTGTCGCACTGTGGGACTGGGGGGCCAGAACCAGTCCAATCCATCGCGGTATGCACGCAGACAACGACATACCAATAGGATCAGGACCAGCACGAACGTTCACGGAAGATGGCAGTTCAATCTCGAAGCAGGCTAAAGCGGTGCAGCTCAGCGATAGCTCATCTCAATTGCGTTACCATAACAAGGATGAGGCATAGAATTCATGTGGCCGCATGACTGCAAAAAGTGAGTCAGCCGATAACTTTTTCCCAACCAGCTACAATAACACCAGCCCTCATCGATCTCAGACACGATCACTGACACTTGCCTGCAGCTGCGCCTCGGACCTCTAGGAGCCGTGATTCCGATGCCCTACGCCTCAAAATCGTCGTGGTTGATCCTGAACCGGGAATATTGCAACCAACCTACTCCAAAGACAGCTCAACGATCATGGGGCATGCTACACTCCTCACAGACTCTCATATCCTACCTCCTCTTGGCATCCTCAGTGATCATACACAACTCTACCGAAGAAATCTTCTCGAGATTCATGGTCACAACCGTTGGGATAGATTGATTGGGGAGTAAGCAAACATAGAACAAGGCAGGGAGATGAAACTAGGAGATGGTCCTACTCTCAACTCGTGAGGTGCCAGTGACGGTGGGCTGTTTTGAAATGATTGTCAGTCTTATTGAAACAACAGTTTCCTGATACTCACTACTCAGCCATGAGGTTTGGCTGTCCTTGAGGTGCTGGTTTTGGTACCTCCACTGGGCCCAGCCTCCACCCAAGACACCTGGAACGCAGTAGACATTAGCTCATGAGCACTGAAGTGAAAAGGCGGGGTGCATCCGTGTGGTCGTTAGCAGGTGTTACCACCACAGTTGTGGTTTTCGTCACCGTAATGATCAGACGCTAGCACTCAAAGCGTCAGAGGTTGTTCAAGACAAAGACATAATTTTCCACTTGTGGGGGAGGATTCGTATGCGGCTCCATATGCTTCTTAATTATCGATCAGAGGAGAAGTATGTGAAGAACGCAGCCAATGCTGTTGACAGTATGTTGACCTCGAGTAACGGATGCAAAAATTCGGAAAAATGTCTCCGGGCCCTGTGCTTCGATGATGTTGTCCGCTGCCTGACAGACCACCTAGGTTCTGGATCACCCTACTCTCACGTTCTCGGTATAGCGCTCATGGCTAGCTTGTGTATTGTTTCTTCAACGGTTTTTTCCTTACATGACTTTGGACAGAGGGCTTTATTTATGTGCTAATAGTGGGGAACTGGATGGCGGAATCAGGATTCCGTCGAATCGTCGATGAGCGGATTGATGTGCACGTTACGGAGCCATCTGTATGTCTAATAGGGTGCTAACAAGCATGCCTCTTTCTGTTCCTTTCTGGGGCCTTATTATTGTTGAGCGGTTTTTTGTCATCCTAGTGGTCCTTCCTTTCTGCTAAAATACTTGGGTACGATGCGCTCCTTGCCCTGGTCGTCAGCTCGACTTTCTAGCCTGAGCATGATCGGCTTATCATTGACTGGCACAATTTCACCCGAGATTCACACTTTACCAAGAATGCGGCGTCCGCGCACCCAACCGATACAGTATATATTGTGCTAGCCGGAGTCACGCTGAACAGTACAACCCCCGATAAATTCAACCATTGTCAATTATATAATGCGTGCATATAGGCAGGCCTGTACGTACTACAAGCACTACAATTTGGCGTATACTGGCCAACTCGTAGCGTCACCTCTACTTCTGAGGATACTATTCAGCTAGCAATGTTGATGCGCACGCACCCGATCACCTCAGCTCTGGCGTGACCTTTCACTTGTCTCGTGAGGAGTCAATATCGCCAACGACCAAGTAGTTTACTTTCCGCTGGCCTGAGCCTCCTCTGACGGCCCCCAAGCGACTGACAAGGACAGAAGTAACCCTGGCTTGATGCTCACGCACGTTCAACACTCACGCACAACTTCATTTCGCCGTCAGCGGCGAGATATTGCTTGTGTCTCGGCAAGTATCTCTCGCCACCCCGAATGTCGGAACCAGGTTTGAAATTCCAACACTCGTCCAGTAATCTTACCTTTCAACGTCGAAGCCCTACGTTTAACAGCCGATCGCGCTTGTATTGCCAAAGCAGAACAGCACCTCGTGAGTGGATGTGTCATCTTCTATGAAGCGACGGGTTTCTTCTGCCGCTGCCCTCAGCCCCATCATCTCCTTGTCGAAGGCTTCTATATAACCGTCCATCGATCCATTCCTCCTTAGTCGATCCGTTCTTCTCTCCTATCCCCAGTCAGGAAGAGTACCCTACCGACGATTGGTATGAGATTCGTGCCTTGGCCGATATCAGAGATCTTCACAACATCCTAAAAAGGCATGGAGGTGAATTAAAACACCGAAAACAAAACAAACAGTTGACTGGTATGAGTGTGTACCACGAAGTGAGGAAGTGAAGCCTGATGACATCTTCGACCATGTCAGCAAGAGAAATGAACTTATGAACTTATGAAACACAAAATGCACAAGATGTCAAAGACGAATTAGGCAAAACATAGATGTCAGGATTGGTTGATCCCCAGATTGCATTCACCCACTCAACACTCTCAAGCATAGGTGGAGAACTTCAGTTCCATGAATGAGTCCGAGCATATTCAACCAGCATGTTAAAACTTACTGTTTCGCCTCGAACACGGTGCAGATCAGAACGGATCTGATACGAATATCGTGAACGAACCGCTTACGTGCTTGATCTCTTTCTCGATTTTGTGACTGGTTAGGTCAACCAAGGCATAACTAGTTACGCCAATACTCCACACATCGAGAACATCCAAAGGCTACTGAATTAGTAGAAGGGCAACATGCCATCAGCTCAGCTCTCCAATGAGAGTCTTTGTTCCTTCTCTCACCCTTTGCCAAATGCAGAAAAGGACCATGCAAACCCGATGGCGGCAAAAATGAACAGACCAAGTCGATTGACTGCCGAAAGGACAGGCTTGATAGATTCTACGTTGATGTTAGGTGGATATGGCTGGAAAGCAATATTCGTTAGTTCGGCGGGCTTTGGTGCGCTGTGCACAATATCGTGGTTACTGGGAAATTACAACAGAAATTATTACAAAGGTCGTGAAGATATGAAACTTGGACCTACGCATATGAGAGGGGATGCACAGCACTCCTTCAGAGTCACCGAGGCCGAAAGCCTTACCCTCGGGCCTTGTCCCCTCGCCTCCAGCACCCTCGTCCAGCCTGCGCTACTGCAGCCCCAGGGTGTAGCGCGGGTCCAGGCGTTAGATGTGCTGGATCCAATGCATCGTTATCATAATCTTACCGCGCACAAAAAGAAATTGTTTACAACGTCAGAATTTCCAAATTCGGGTGCTTCCCAGCTCCAAATAACTCACCCGATAATTGTGCATCCTTGATGATGACATCTTTCCCCGAGATGGGGTCCCGGACGGTGTATTCTCCAGCCTCTTTCTTCAGTCTGTCGACCCTGTGCGCAGTAGCCTTAGCCATGACTCCGTTTCTCCCCTCTTGCCGTTTGGTCCTGTGGACCAGTTTGGGGATGCGGACACGGTTGCTATTTTTGTTATTGGCTGGAACAAGGTGGGGAAGGGCGAGGCTTGTGTTCAACAGGTGACTCGATCTGACCCTCGCTTGGCGCTATGTCTGTGCCGTTAGCACCATCATCAGTACTCGATTGGTTATGGCGACGGTCTTGCTGCCCAAGGAACGCCTGGACGTTTGGAACTTTGTTTTGTCCGTTGTATCGTCCCCCACACTGGTAAGCTTGAGGGGCCAGGAGATAGTTTGGAGTGCGCATGGGCCGCCGATTAGAAACGTTCTCGCTGTGAGGCGAAAGAATTAGGACTGACCGGCGTGAGAACTTAGCGTGCCGAATCCATGGTCCGCCGTTAATTGCACTGGAGCAGACAGATTCCAAAGATGCCACCGAAAGAGTGTCCAGAGTAGATACGAGTGTGCGACCTTCTTTAGTACGTCAAAAGACATTCTAGGACAAGAGCGAGATGGACGTTTCAGAGCAGGACGGAAAGGTGTATCGTGACGAAGAACTTGACACTGATTCATAGGCCCATGCTGGACTTAAGGGATACTAGGGTTGGAGATAATTTTTGCATTCTGAGTGCCATACTTATTAATAAACACTTTGGTGACGCACGGCAATGAAGACAGGGTGGTTGAGCCGATACCAGTATTAGGTAACTAACGCCTCTATCCTACGCATCAGCTCATCATCATCGACAAATGGACCGCCGAAATAAACGGGAACTTGTGTCATGTAATCCTCATCATCCTCTAAATATTTATCAAACACCTCCGCAGCACCCGAAGCTGCAAAGACCCGGGCAACAGCTAGATGGAGATGGCAAATCTGAGGATCAGGTAATCCAATCAGATCGCCGCCAGTTCCCTTTCCAAATTCTATTTCGTCGCCATCCTTGAGAGGAATAGTGGCTGACACGTTCGCCGGTCGAACCTCTCGGAAACGATATTTCCACTGCTTAACACGTTGTGTCAGGATGCGGACCGTATAGCGTCAAAAACTCACCCTATGATCGACTAACCTGGCCTCAATTCCCCAAGCTAGTGTCTTTTCCATTGATTCGTGGGCCGATAATCCGATATTGATGGCATTGGAAGGATGGTTTATGAATCGCTGGATAAACTCTGCTTTCACCATCTGACCAGTAAATACCTCAATCGCATGATGTGTATGTGTCTAAATGACGCATATATCAGTCAAAAAAATATGCCGGGAATCGTATCTACCTTAGAATGAGCGGAGAATGGGATGATGTGCGCGCAGCGGGGCCGTATAACCCTATCCTTCCCAAAGAAAGGATAATTGGAAACAGGGCAATGACTCCCATCGCGAAGAAAGATCTGAATAATGTTATCAGTGGATTTTCCGGTCATGGCCAGCGGTAGTAAAAAATGTACCAGGTCTCTCAAAGCCGATTGACTCTGACAAATAGTGGCTGACTCTAACAATGATGTAATCTCCTCTATATGCTTAGGATTGGGTGTAGGGTGTATGCTCTCTTGAGGAGTCCTTTTTCCACCTGGATTCCTGACTTAGAACAACAGGATTTAGAGTCACAAGAACCGATGGAGATTGCGTCATACAAGCAATAACAAGATGAGACAAGTAGTAGCTGGCAAGAGCCGTGAGACCCTTCGCATTTCCATCATTTTGGCCAAGTTCTTGATGCACAGTAGCTGCCCAATCATACGGACTAGCAGAGCGATCACCATCCAGGGCATGGACTTGAACAAAACATTCAATAAAAATTATTACGGTTATTTAAAGGACATCACCGAGGTCTGTCACAACCGAAATTTTGCACTTTGCCAGCTCCACCAATAATTCTCGAGCCATTGTTTGTGGAGATGGGGAGTGCTCTATCAGAGCCTGCAGAAGTTTGTGGGCTGGTACGTCGAAAGTCGAAGTTTCTGCCCCGACCCGTCTGGCAAATCCCAGTGGCGGATTTTCCACAGCATTGTATTGCCCCCCATCAACACCAGGAGTTCCAGGACGTAAGACTCTAAAGGATGGTCTGGGATCATCACGGAGATGATGATGAAGGAATGAACTCGAGAATCGCGGCTCGAAGTTCTCCGGAGCCGATTTCACATCAGAGGTTGGCACTGCCGGATAGTTCCCTCGATCGATCTGTATGTGTTGTAAACGGAGCACTCATACCTTCTATAGAACTGGGGTCAATGTATCATTAGTTATACATCAAAATGTAGTTGTGGTATTCGACAGGCTAGATATCACTCCCAACATGGTCTCGAAAAGCGTTAACACTCAAACGCAACGGAGGTCCGTCTCACGTAACACGTTGGCCCGGTCGTGTGGCGTCTCAAAGACCGAGCATCGCCAATAACACATAGGTGGAACCGTCCTCAGCGTTAATATCTCCGTTCCATCCTATCCACCCTTTTCCGTATCGCGTCATTGCAACAGGCACCAAATCTTTCTCGACAGGGTCAGGATCAAAGACGAAACTTTCAACACAAGAATCCTCTCCCGGACGGTACACTGCGTCGAAGGCCTCAACTCCAGAGAGACTGACAGCTTTCATCGAGTAGGAAGCTAGAAGTGACGCTGAGGCGGGAGATCCAAGTGCATGATGGAATCGTTGAAGAAAGTGAGTGCTGCGATAATAACCCCCAAGTCGCCATGGAAGACCAAGTTTCTCGCCAAAGAATTTCTTCATGCTTGAATCATTCATTTCGCTCGGAATCATGCACCCAAACACGACGCGCCCACCATTTCGCGCATAGGAGAGAAGAGCATTAAGGACCCCCACAGACGTTTTCTTCTTGCAGATCGATGGCTCCACTACGAGCACTGCATGAGGTGGAGGAGACTGCGCCAAAACAGCGCAGAGGGCCCCCTTACTCCCGCAAGTTTGAACGAAAGCAGCGGCATTCAAGTCGTGAAGGAATGGTTGATAATAAGAACGTCCGGCGAGTTTCCAATCAGAGGGCCCGGCATCAAATAACGCGACCGTTGGACGTTTCTCGTCTTTTGTTCCACGAAGAGTGAAATTGAGATTGGGAACGCAGTATAACGGCACTAACTCACCAAGTCGTTTCGGCGGCGCACACACCTCAGTGCGATGCTCTTCCCAATCCTAACGAGGTGGCAAAACGCTTCAATATCGTAGAACTGCTGCACTCAGGGAATCACTAACCTGCTTCTGATGCACAGAGCTTGCTGATCGACGTTGGAAGCATCTTCCAATCCCTTCCGTCTTTTCGCAGCCTTGCAGCGAGCAAAGTCTGTGTGCCTTCATTCGAAAGACTGGACTGAGCAGCGTTGTAGTGTAGAGGCTCTTAGAGAGCGTCGAGAACGAGTTAAAGATCGAATGTTGAGCAGCTGTTTCCGTTGCCTTACGGAATGCAGGAGGGTTACAATGTTTGCCCAGATTTCGATGTATCAAACCACGCAAACCCCCAAGCCTCAAGCTATTATAACGTGTGGCACACAGCCAGGGCCGTCCGCCCTTCTGCGACCAAATATGACCACTCATCAACAGGCTCCCGTTGGTGCTGCTCCTAACAACCCCAAACCCACAGGAATGATGTGCCAAGACGTTCATAAATGTAAATGGTATTTAATTTCCCACGATGGTTGCTTGTACATGTTGAATAGCACTTGAGTACTAGAGGAATCGATATCGATAACATTCAACTAAAGAGGTGTGTCCCTCAGCAAGGTTTCAGTTCTTTTCAGTTCTCCGTTGATAAAAAATTGTAACTTTTCACATTCGGTTTGATTGAGCGAAGGAGAGGAAGGATTGAATTCGTCAGCATGATCATCGGATCCAGAGGAAGCAACAACGAATGCTTGGGGAGGGTTGAATGTCATCATCTGTCATTAATTCAACCCAGTAGGGCAGGGCGGATGTGCACCACTTTACTGGCCCAACAGTAGGGAAAAGAACATGGCGGAGGAAATAACGGGGAGCGAACTGTATGTGTGATTTGAGACAGTGGTGTGCCTAACACGTCCAGGATGAGGAGTGGGGTGGAAAGACGCTATACCGGTTTCGAGTATACATTATTATGAAGTCATAGAGGCTGGAGTCCTGCCTAACGATGAACATCGTAGATACTGAAACAGTGGGAATCTGGACAGATCGATGCCAAAGTTGCATGTTGAATCGATTTCGCGGACAAGAGCTAGGTGCTCCGGTGAGACGTAAGAACGATGACAAAGAAAATAGTAGGAACGTAATGAAGAGAGAATATAAATGGAAAATAACCAAGCCGTCAGTAGTTACGTAATGTGGGCCAGGAAGCGAAAGCTACTATACTGGGGTTCCAATAAAGTGAGACTGCACGGATCAGGGGATATGTCAATGTTCTCTGTTCCTGGGTGCAAGTTGGCGGAGTGTGGCCAGGGTAGAGGCTGGTCACCTACCTATGGATAGGGTGACTCGCCTCCGGACGTGCTATCGCATGGCATTCTAAATCAGAGGCGACACAAGGTTTGGGAACGAGACGCATCCATTTAGATGAGCATATGTATATGAGGTCAGTCTTGGCAGTGAGTGCATGGTTCACAAGCTGAAACGTGATAGTGTAATTGAGGTGCATGACTCTGACAATCCTAGAATGCCGTTGATCTTCAGTCGCGCTGCTTTGAGATGTTGGCATTCTTGCATGCCCTATTTATCTCAGGCACACCCATAAGAGATAGTCCATTGTTACTGTGTTAACGTCCTTGCCAAACACGAAGACATATTCGTGTGGACACGGGGCCTGCACCGGTGGATAGTTCTCTTTGTATGTGTTGTAAACTAGTACCTCCCATCAATGTGTTAGTCATACAGAGGCATTCGATAGGCTAGATATCACCAACTCCCGACACTCATGACAAAACGACTGGCCTGGTCGTGTGACGTCTCAAAGACCAAGCATCGCCAATAACACATAAGTAGAACCATCCTCAGCATTAACATCCCCATTCCATCCGATCCATCCTTTTTCGTACCGCGTCATTGCAACAGGCACCAAACTTTGGTCGACAGAGTCAGGATCAAAGACGAAACTTTCAACATGAGAATCCTCTCCCGGACGGTACACTGCGTCCGAGGCCTCAACTCCAGAAAGACTGACAGCCTTCATCGAGTAGGAAGCTAGAAGTGACGCTGAGGCGGGAGATCCAAGTGCATGATGGAATCGTTGAAGAAAGTGAGTGCTGCGATAGTAACCCCCAAGTCGCCATGGAAGACCAAGTTTCTCGCCAAAGAATTTCTCTGCGATTGAATCGCTCATTTCGCTCGGAATCATGCACCCAAACACGACGCGCCCACCATTTCGCGCGTAGGAGAGAAGAGCATCAAGATCTTCCGCAAACGTTCCCTTCTTGTAGATCGAAGGTTCCACCACGAGCACCGCATGAGGTGGAGGAGACTGCGCCAAAACAGCACAGAGGGCCCCCTTGGTTCCGCAGGTTCGAACGAAAGCAGCGGTATTCAAGTCGTGAAGGAATGGTTGATAATAAGAACGTCCGGCGAGTTTCCAATCAGGGGGCCCGGCATCAAATAACGCGACCGTTGGACGTTTCTCGTCTTTTGTTCCACGAAGAGCGAAATTGAGATTGGGGACCTAGGACCCCAGTATAACTAACTCACCGACTTCTTTCGGTAGCGTACACACTCTGCGATGCTCGCTCCAATGCTAACGATGCGGCGGAACACTTCCATATCGTAAAACTGCTGCACTAGAGGGTTACTAACCTGCCTCTGATGCGCAGAGCTACAATAAAGTGCGGATCGACATTGAGAGCAGCGTCGAAGCCCTTCTGTCTTTTCGCAACCTTGCAGTGAGCAAATTTTATCTACCTTCATTCGGAAGACTGGACTGAGCAGAGTTGTAGTGTAGAAGCTCTCGGAGAGCGTTTAGTTTTGAGCGGCTTTTTCCGGAATGCTGGCACTAGTGTAACGTGTTGGTGCAAGGGTCATCCGTTTTTCTGCGGCCAGACGTGACCATTCATCATCAGGCACCCATTGGTGCTGCTCCTAATGGCACCAAAACCATAAAAATAATGTGCCAGGACGGTAAGCTCGTAACCATCGCGGGAACGTTCAAAATAGAACAAGTGTGTATGTTGAATCGAACAATTTACAAGTGGGTCCTCTCTAATATACATTAGTAGCCTAAATGCCTTTGATCTTACCGCGAAACTCGCTGGGACCGTCCGGTCCACAAGGGGGCGGTGCGAACTTGCCTTATGAAAACTCAAAACTACCAGGATGAGACTACCTTGAGCTGAAGAAAAGTTGATCGTGTGGGTGGCGACATGAAGCAACAGCTACTTACGGATGGAGCCGTATACTGACATTTCCATTTGGGTTATTATTACGCGTCATGGAGACGATAGAGAATGATGATCAAGACCATAAGAAGTGGGGTTTTAAAGACTCTGGAGCAGTGGCGGCCCCAGTCCTCTTGTGCAGGAGAACCAGAGAAAGCCCAGTATTACACTTCGGCATGATAGTAGCCCAGTTCAGCTGGATGCTTGTTGAGACGAGAATAGACGCCGTGCGCTGGAGCCCACAACGTAGCGAGTATCCATGGAAGCAATGGGAATTAAAACCTCGGTGGCAAGAATAGACGTCGTGCGCCAGTGCCCATGCAAGTGTCCGCGGAAGTAAAATGGGCGACCAGTGGCAGGTTCAACTGGCATAATTGCACGGTCGTCGATTCTTAGTTTCAAAAACTTTGACCTCGCCGCTCCCGAGCTCCGTAACACGGTGCCTCCAGAAGCTCATTCCATCCCGCCAAAGCATGCCTTGCAATTACGCGAAAACATTATCCCACGTTATTTGTTTTTGTTTGCACCGAGGATTGACCAGACCTCTTCATTTACCAATAAGAAGAGGACTTGATAACACTTCCATCATCACGAAAATTGGACAGGCAACTGGAGCACCTGAAGCATGTGGGAGCGCCAGTCCGATGTTCGTGATCATGATGTGGACCTCAAAGCTCTAGCAGGAGTTTTAATGAATAGAACGATCTCGAGAGGAGTAAGCACCTTTATAGAGGCAACTTCCCTTACTAGATCAGCACCAGCAGTGCTAGAGATGTATTATCCAACTTCAGGTGCCCGGCCCATCGTGTCTCAGTTCTAGGCTACAAGCCTGCCACGGAAATTAGAAACAGTCCCAACAGGTTTACATTATTACGGCCAGAAGCCACCAAAGAGATGCAAAAATGCCGAACCCCTTCAATTCGATAAGGATCAATCCATGAGCAAAGATGACTTTATAGTAGGAAAAACTCTGGTTAGGAGCCTCCATGCTGGGACATGTTCAAGCAGATTACTTCAGTGCTTCGATCGTCACTCTACGGATTGAGGCTTGTCCTTGCAGCCTCTAATAGACTATATACACGCATCGTGTATGTTTCCCCTTCCACACTGGCACGGCCGCCTCATCACGACGTCACGCCGGTGGCGAGCCTACGCGGGCCCTCTAGAAACAATCCCAGGGCTTGCTTGGTTGACAGGTAAAACGTATAACTCGGCAATATTGACGTGAGGAGGCCGAGATGCGGCCCATACAACCTCTTCGGCGACATCTTCGGCGACCACTGAAACTCGTCAACCTATGCTCCGTTGATCATTGTACACTCAGAACTTACGTGGTTCCAACCCTTCGTAAACTTTGTCTGCTGCTGTTTTGTTCCCCCGGTAGCGAACGACGGAGAATTCTGTCCGTGAGTTGACATCAATATCGTCAGAAGTTGGCAAGCGGACAAGATGACCAGCTTACCGGTCTCGACCA